AAAGCCTACGCATGTAACCATCCTTCTCTTATGGACTCCTTCCTTCGATTCTCCCAACTCGCTTATGAGAAAATAGGAACATTATTGACCGCTTGTGTAACGTGTGCCCCCACTCCCATATAAATGTAGCGGCCCGATGAGAATTTATCGAAAGCCCACGTATGCTCATCAGCTACCATGTCCGTTAGGATTAGCATTCGTTGTCGGGTAAGTCGGGTCACACAAGCATTTTTTGACATCTGTTTTTTTGGGACATTTTGCTCAACGGATCTCATTATGATAGCGAACGTTTGCGTTCCAGGTATTGGCATCGGTAAAGGAGAGTGATGATCGAACACCGGAACGATTTGTATTTTATTCTGAGCTTTCGGGCTCTTACCGAAGTCCATCGTCAGAGATGGAAAGCAGCAACGGAAAAGTGGCTGTTTATAGCCTGTGAACAAACAGTTAAAAATGAGCGTGTTAAAAAATCGATAAATGTTAGGTTTGGGCCCCTAATGGCCCCCTGCAGGACGAAAATGGGGCGATTATGGAGGATGTGGGGCCAATTAATTATGACGGACGTCTGGCTCTGAACGTATATAAGAGCGCAAGGCTCTGCACGCCGGCGCCAAATCGATACATATATTGACAGATTCCTCCCCCGTGGACCAGGCTTCGATAAATTCTTAGCGCGTCATGGTTTCTGCGTGGGCGAGTACCTTGATGGCAGTGAAGTTGAATTCATGGCCTGATTCGTAGGTGGGAGCTGCAAATTGATAATAAGTCGCCTCATGGCACGGCCAACTTGTGTTCCTGTATGCGCGATCAAAGCATGCGTTCAGTTTTGGCTGTGTAATTACAGGGAGAGCTTATGCATGGGCGTTAGATCTCATTATATTCAGCACTGCCTCAGTCGCGACCAACGGTCTTTCAACTTGTCAGGCACCATTTGCCCATTATAGCTGCTTGCCGTACCAGTTTATAGTGCTTAAAATATTCCAAGATGGTCATACGCAACTTTTTATTGTTGTACTTACAAGTAACACCTACTGATTGCAAATTAAACGTAGTTTATCAAGATAAGACAACCGCAAAAGGACCGTCGCATGGAAACGCTTTCAGGATGTGCTCATAATTTTCTCCGTTTCAAAAAACATCAGTTGTACTACAAATCCTAAACTCTTACTACTATGGGTAAAATTCGGAGGTCACTTGCTATCCTTACTAGAATATGCGGCAAAAGTAGCTTATTTAGTTTCACTCATACACCCCTAGTCCCAGCATTTTGTCCTACGAAAACGCTGGTTATAGGGTTTCGGGGGGACGGGGAAATAGGATAGACAAAGAAGGAAATTTTTAGAAGAAAGTGTTAAGGGAAAAATGTAGCCGAATTTGTTTCCCGCGGTCACTGGGAGTAAGTTGTTTCGGATGTAATTTCACGGTGTGCGCGGCGCTAAGCGCCGCGGGCTATACTAATCTGACTCCAGAACGGTAAGTTGGACCTCAGGTAAGTTGAAGGAGACAACCTCTTACCCACCATTTCTATTTTTCGGGAATTTCAAGAAACCAGCATTTTGATAATCTGGTTTTTCCGCAGAACGTTAAGCTGTTATACAGATTAGGAAAATCTACAGGTATAAATCAACAACACTTCAAAATAAAATAAAATAAAAATGCATATAGCAGTTATTACAATATATTTCACTGCGTATCCTCATTCCCCACACACAAAACTCTGTAACCACCGTTTTCGTAGAAAAACATGCTGGGAGTAGGGGTTAATGCGTGGGACTACATAAACTACTTTTGCCGAATTTGTTATAGCAATATAGCTTCCGTATTGTAATTGCCAACTGTCCTTAAAATGTATTATTTTCTGAAGATTATATAGTGCAATCAACTATAAGCAACTCGAAATATGTCTTTTTATATGATTACCAACGCGTTTATCATTCAAAACCTTTTAGTATTTGCTGAAGAATATTGACCGGCGCTTAAATTGCTTGAAATCTGTTCACCGAAATCCTATTTATTGTGCCCGTTAGGGGATAGCATTAAATGTCGCTTTAGTACGATCAAAGAAGCATTTGTTGCCATCTTTTATGTAAAGACATTTTGTCCAACAGTTCTCATTATGAAAGAAGAAGGAAGAGCTTATTAGGAATAATAAATATGTGCTTGTGATTTTTCAAGCTGTTGACAGCAACTCGTCCTCGGACAAAACAAAAAGTGAGTACGTAATAAAGTTACACTGGGCGGTTTCAGCGACTGGACCACTGGCGTGTAGAGGTTTGAGTCACAGTTTGTTTATAGGCCCCATGGAGCAAAATAGCTACGGGTCACAAAAGAAGCTGCGTCCAAACTAAATTACAACGGGCCTTTTGTTATTGCAACAGCGACAACCTCCGCAAGAAAGAAGTCGCTTTCTTTTATTGATTTTCTCCATCTAACGGACATCCGATCAACTTTGTAAAGAACTGTCTCAGGCGTCAAACACAATCGCAAGATCCAAACCCTAACGGAGGAATTACGACAAAGAAATTATACTCCCTGCCTCATATGATGTAAATTTCTGACGTAATCACCAGGCAATTAAGTCACTTCGATATCCACATCGCACACACACACACCCACCCACCAGCATCATCATTATGCGCAGTTGTACTATACGTCCTAAAATTGTACTGCTATGGGTAAAATTGAGAATTCACTGTCTTTAAAATCATAGGTAACTATGTAAAGTTGTAAGACATGCACAAATTGCCCGGCATTTATAGTTTGTAGCGGCCATCCGCGTGCGAGCCTTAATTATCAGCTTCTGTAACCACAGCTTGGGGTCGTAATTGGTGCGGTGATTGCCCGCATCCAACACGGACAACGACATCGCGGCGATTATTGACTCGAAAGCGAACGGTCAAGCCATTACCGCACCAAATATGACCCCAAGCCGTGGTTACAGAAGCTGATAATTACGGTTCGCACGCGGATGGCCGCTTCGCACTATAAATACCGTGCAATGTCTGCATGTATCACCCCAATATATGTCTTTAAAATGTATTATTTTCTCAGAGTATTAAATGGTGAAATCAATTGTAGACAACTCAACGTATAGCTTGCTCGAAGCCAAGAGGCGTCATATGACAGCCAAGGTTAAAAGTCGTTTAATTTAACAGGACATATCCAAAAAGGAGCAATTATCTAGACAATAGATATCAACAAGCGAATACAATGCTTCTTTTTCACCTACTCACCTTTTATTGATTTGCTTTAGGATACCAACTAGCATTTTAACTGTCTGAAATTTGCTTATCCTGGATAAGCAGAAGCAGTATCAAACACAGGGAAAGGACAAGTGATTTGAAGTCCTGTAATGTTTAATCACAAATATCTTAACTCGAATCAATGCAATGTTTTGATCTTAAGGTTCACCATGCTTGGCGCAAAATCTTTGATGGAACATCAAAAAAGGTGGCACATACTGATCTACGATACTTCGTCAGACGGTTTCTTACTCTTTTGTATAAACTAGAAGGCAGGCATCGGAAAAAACTGCAATTTCAGGGAATGACGTTTTTTGGGAAATTTAGGAAAATTTTTTCATGAAATTTCCGACACTGGATCTCCAGGTGGTCGTCAGACTTGACAAAATGTGCAAAAAACGGTTAAAATGTCAAGGTGCTCGTACTGTTATATAGCCGTTTACTGTGGACCCTAATTGGTAGTTGCAATTTGCGTCACGTCATGATGGACATAATTAGCAGTCGCAGTGGCGTAGTGGATAATTGGCAACCATAATTGTTGTCGGTTCGGGGTCGGTCCGGGTCATCCGGTGTAGGTGGTAATTGCGGTTCGTGTTTGTTCATACTTATCGGCTTTAGTCTCTTCCCCCTTTCTTTGAGATGGTTGTATACTCCAACCAACTCGACACGCCAGTTGATGCATCAATCATCGGAGTGCACAGCCTCAAGAAATTCTTAGCATTTTT